TGTATATGGAAAATTTTACATTGAAAAAAAAAAAATTACCTTTTCTTATTTAGCTATTGTATATACTACACAGGATGCGAGATACCTAAATATAAAAAATAAAGCATTAACAATATAATGGTCGGGTTCATTAAACAACATTAAGGGTTAAAATTTTGTGGATAAAAAACTTACTGAGTTTTTCTTATATAACTATCTCATATCCAATATTATTTGACGTCAGATTTAAGCGTGGTTAGGTTCATTTAGAAATTCCTAAAATCATTTTTTTGTATTTGTATGAATTTAAATTTAAACTTGAAATTTTGTTCTTAAACAGTCATACTATTTTATTTTATAAGACTGATACCTATTATTTTTTTTTAAAAACCTTTAATTAAATTTAACAATGTTCGAAGTTAGACCATATAATAGGGTAACAATATTAAGCAACTAAAACTTCGCATAAAAAACAAGTGAAAAAATCTTGTGGTTGCTGTCTTCTCCAGTTCTCCTATCATGTGGTCATCGACATCATCATTTTCTGATTTTCATCACCTCGGATCTAATAAACGCGATGCTACAAGAGAAAGGCTTGGCACAATGCAAGCTCACATTCACAATTTCCTTACAACAATAAAAATAAAATATAAGGAGAATTACCACGAAATTTTAAATAAGAAATATAATTACCAAAAGGTTTCAGTAACAATATGAGAATTCTGCAATGATAAATACTAGGGTAGTAAATAATAACTACTTACTTGTTATTGGAACCTACTGGTAGTTATTTCCTTTTATTAGAACTCTGTTGTAATTCTTCCTAAAATATAAATGATGACTTATGTAAACTGTCTTATTATTTTAGTTTCTAAAACCAAACAACTTTATTTTTTGGAGCAAGGAACAACTAATTATTTGAAAACATAGTGAAATACAAAGACAAAAATCACAAACATAGTAACACAACCCATTTCACGTAATTTTTTTCCATCCAAAAAATGAAAACAAAAAATTAACTGAGAGACAAGTTTATCTGGTTTTCCCTCTTTTCTACTTTTGCATGTATTACATCATATTTTTAATATAAGATCCAGTTGACTAATTTGAAAAAATTAATGAAGTTTAAAAATTACTTAATTACTCTAAAATGCTTATATGTATTATTAGATTATATACCGGTCTATAAGTTAAACAAATCAGTTTGAAGAAAATGATAAATATAATATTTTTAAAATAGTTTATTTAACTTCTTTAATATCTCCAAATTAGTTAACTAAGTTTTATAAAAATTACCGGAGGTAGTGTGTACATACATAGCTCCTACTTAGAGAAATGAGAATACGTTTTAATCATGTTCAGATATTTAATTGAGATATCAAAATTTAATAAATAAATAAACTTAGACAATTAAAATTTATTTTGAATGTTCAAAAAATGAAAAAAAAAATTCACGAAGAGGAAAAAAGAAAAGAAAAGAAAAGAAGAGAGAGAAGAGAGGAAGGAAGCCAAGTTAATTGCCAAACTGAAGTCTCCACATAATATACATAGATGGAGTTTGAGAATTAATATTAATATTAATTAACTACAAGAAAATTAAATATAAATCATGCTTTAATTTCTTGGGCAAGAGCATTTTCGATCCTCCCTAAGCACCCCAAAAAAAAATATTCATAATATTTTTTTATCCTTTAAGTTTGTCCTCATTTTGATTTTGATCTCTTAAATTTCAAATTATAGGTTTTACTTTCTCAAGTTCCTTTCTTTTAAAATATTGTTCCTTATAAGTTAATAAATACATGGACCATTTTGTCTTTTGAAGATCCGAGAGATAAAGCTAAAATTAGTGTAAACTAGAGGAACTAAAAATTGTATTAACAAGAAAAAAGATTTCAATCAAGACTGGTGTCAAGTGAATTCCTGAAACGCTTGGTTTCGTATCAATTCTGTTGAGGTTGAGCTTGAATTCAAATAAGAATTATATTTTGAAAATAGGTTGAATTTTGACATTGAAATAGAGGTAAATAATTACTTAAATAAAAAAAAAATATTATCAATACATACCTCGTGGTGGATGTAATATATTTACATTGTGTAGAGCTAATATAGTTCATCAAAATTTTGAATGATAAGGTGAATTTGAAGATTGAACATCCTTAATTATCCTCATTCCTCACGCTCTTGCTACAATATACTCAGGCAAAGCATGAGGCCAATGACTTCACAAAGAAGAAAATTCCATGTAAGTGGAATTTCGCCCGCATCTTATTGATGGATCTATAAATGGGCTTTATATTATCCGAGTTCCTTTTGTTTTTAAAGGCAAATTATAAAAGAAGATTTACAAAATCAATCTAAAAACATGGAAATTCTTTTAAATGTAATTAGGGTTTAATTTAATAGATTGCGGGCCCTTAAAAATGACGTCTTAGATTTGAGGCGGTGTGTATGAAAAATGCTTTATTGAGATATGCAAGACCCACTTTGATCATCTTTGCATCTTAAAGAGAATTAGTTTCTATTGGTTAGGGAATATATATACTGTATGGTTTCAATTATTGATTCTGATGTTAATTTCGATATATTCAATATTGATTATGTCAATATAACTAATATGCATCAATAAAAATGTGGTAATTTCACTTACCTATTTTTTAATGATAAACTAGTCTATTATTAATGCGATATATTAATCCCTCAAGGTTCATTGGTTTATGTTGTTGGCAAAAATAATTATTACTTATGGGAAGATAACTCCTTAAGCTTTATTTCATGAAAAAGATAGCCTTTACAACATATCACTTTCTCAATGTAAAGTGATAGATTGATTAATAATATACATATTATTAATATATTATGTATAAATTAAAAAGTTTATTATCAACTTTTAAAATCAATAAAATTATATATGTGTGTGTGTGGCTGATTAATAACTAAAAACATGAACAAATTCTTGGAATTTTACAATCAATAAAAAAATTCTCTAGCCAAAGTATATATTTGGTCTTCTAACTTTATAGAGAATTCAATTTGATCATTTAAATTTAAAAAGTATACTTTTAGTCATTCAACCCTCAAATTATTAATAAAAAAATGATAACATTAAGATAATAAATGTTGATAAAATAATCTCAAATGCTAATATATTAAGTTTAATTTTCATAACAGCATAATTATTACAAAAAATTATCATTTAAGCCTAATGATTTGAAGGTTAAAAGACTAAATATATACTTTTTAAACTTAAGGGACCAAATTGAAACTTTATACAAAATTAAAGGACTAAATATATACTCTAACCAAAATTTTTCCATCCCATCGACAAACATATCTGGGCAAAGTAGATTTCATTGGATTGCAGAATATTAAAAAAAATGCAGAATACATTAAGATGAATTGCAAATTTCTGTCTTGATCATTTTTTAAAAATATGTCTGCCCATTGCTCTTAAATCTCAAGTTTCCCCACTTTAGCTATCAGGTTCATTCGAAATATATTTTAAGCTTTTAATTTTTTGTTTTTTTCCCCAAAAACATTCGAACCCAAAAAAATTGATTAATGAGTTTATGAAATACTACCAATAGATGATCATTTTAATGGGAGTGAGCATGATTATTTAAGCAGGAACTCTTAAAATTTTAAATTCCAACGATGCTCCGATATGATCCCCTAATTCCAGATATCAAATACTGTATCAAAATAATTTTGTTGTCAAAAAAAAAAACTATATACACGAGATGTCATCTTCCTCGTGGTCAAATAATTATCCGGGAGCAGGGTTAAATTTTTATGGCTGATCAATAATCAGGGATTAAAGTGCAACACTAATTTCTGTTTTTCCTTCGTTGGGGAATGATGGGATGGTATAATATTTTAAATAAAAGGAAGAAGGAAAAATCACATAAAACAATAACAACAAACACACAAAAAATCAAGTCGTTTAAAACAGGGTTAATATATTCTTTATTGGTCCTTTAAGTTTGGTTTTATTTTAGTTTTAGTCACTCAAATTTTAAACTATAAGTTTTGATTCCCGGAAGGGCAAAGTCATCTATGTTTTTAGTGGATTATAGGGGTCAATATTATAAATAAAAAGAAATTTGAAAGACTAAAACCTATGGTTTAAATTTAGGAAACTAAAATCAAAATGAAGACAAATTTAAAAGACCAAAATTTGTATTAATCCTTTAAAATATTTAAAATAATTTTCCCAAAAAAAATTATCGGTTATATCTATAAAATTATCACTTGTATTTTTCTAAAATACAACTTATTATCTCATATTATAAAAATACTTTAATGGATAACTTTAGATAATATGAGCAATAATTTTGAGAAACAAAAGCAACAACTTGAAAAAAAGATAATAACTTCAATAATTATATGATCAATTTAAAATCTTAAAGTTATTTAAAGTGAGTATTATCTCATAATAAAGCATTATTACTTCTTGTTTTAAGAGCTCGCACTTCCTAAATCTATTTTAGCACAAAGGATTTATTTTATCATCTTTCCCTTTAATTCCTTAAACGATCATTATAACCAATCTATGTAATCATTAATTTAAGATTAAAATTATGTTAATTTCAACTTTAAGTTAACCAAGGGGAAGAAAAAATTAAGTTAACTGGAAATTAAATCTTTTTTAATTTTAATATTTGACAACCACTTCTCCGTTTTTTTGCCAAAATTGGGATCCTAGTCTTTAAAGGACTAAAATTCACTTCGCACTTGGCAGTAGGAGGGCTCAAATGTGCGGCTGCGATTGAGTCGTGATATTGAAGTCTACATCGTCGACGGTATTCTTTAACCCTCTTACTCCTACTCATAATTCTCAAACGGAACACAAGAAGAATATAAAAACAAATAAAAATTTAAAAAAAAAAAAAAAGTTGAGGACACCTACGGCGCAATTTAGCGTCCAAGGTCGCATAACCCGAACGTTAAAACCGCCCTCTTCCTTCCTTTTTCCCTCACTCATATATAAACTTGCGTTTCCCGGCGAACTTGAGAGAAAATTATCAAAATCTTCTCTCAAAGACCTCTTCTTTCCTTTCGAATGATTCTCACGTTTTCTCCACAAAATCCCCAGCTCCCGAAGCTCTGATTCGGCTTGCTTGCTTTCTTTCTTTGTTCTGAATACTCTCGCCGTTCTGCTCGTCTCTGGTAATTTTCTGGTTTGGTTTTTCCGGTTAATGGTGTTTGTAGGATTGGCGGAACGAAGAGGAAGAGTTTGAGCACCAGAGTCCATGGCGATGGGTCCCGAAAGATCTAAGCCTCTTCACAATTTCACATTGCCGTGTTTGAAGTGGGGGAATCAGAGGCACCTCAGGTGCATGAAAGTGACTTCAGACGGCGCCGCCGCCGCCTCTCCATCGACCGGCGATCGGCGATCTCCAGGGATGAGGTTTGAGAACTCGACGGTGACTCGGAAGAGGGAATTGGCGGGCGAGATGAAGCAGCAGTTTCCTCTGAGCGGCAGGGATTCGGAGAAGAGGATGAGGATATCGAAATCAAGAATAGATGGCTGCGATGGAGAGGACGGGATCGAGGCGGTGAGGGAGAAGATAATGTTTGATCTGAAGACTGCGGCGGATAAGATGAAGGATGCAATTTTGAGGAAGGAGGCGGGTGAGGAGGAGAACGAGGTGGATGAAAAAGAACAGGAAGAGCCTCCGGCTGCTTCTGCTCCATCTTCTGCGGCGGCGGCGGCGGAAGCGAGGCCGTGGAATCTGAGGACGAGGAGAGCTGCGTGCAAGGCTCCGATTGCCGACGGGAGTGGAAAGTGTTTGAAGATTGAGGAGAAGAAGCTTAATCACTCACCGCCGAGGACTGACAACGCTAACGGCGCGAAGTTGCCGCCGAAATCGAGAGCCTCTCCCGACAAGCCAGAAAGGCCCAAAATTTCAGTGCCTCTCTCGAAAAAGGAGATTGAGGAAGATTACATGGGGATGGTCGGTCACCGGCCGCCGCGGAGGCCGAAGAAGAGACCCAGAAACGTTCAGAAGGCTTTAGATGTAAGTTGATTTCTATCTTACAATTGCATTCCCCTTTGACTTTTAAATTCAATTCAACGATTCCAATTCCATGGCCAAGAACCACCGACGCTTCAAAATTAGAATCGTCACTGCACTTTACATTACATTTGATGTCGTGATATGGTATTGTGTCAAATCTCCTGTTGAGTATTGGCTGTTTGTGTTTCTGGTTTTGCTTCTCTTTCCGGTAACCTCCTCTGTTCTTGCAAAGCTTAAATTCCCATTCACATACTTGATTTCTGTGCAGGCCGTTTTTCCTGGTTTGTGGTTATCGGAGATTACGCTCGATACATATAAAGTTCCTGAAGCCCCTGAAAATGGCAAGGTATTCTACTCTTCCATTTACTTCTTCCGGTAGTGATTCGTCATTTGTAGGGTAGGAAAAATTTTGAATCTTTGTGATATTTGCTTCTGAAAGGAAAATTTTGTTACACTTGCAGTTTGAATCTCATCTTCGGGAACTACTCTAATTTGCTGTGCTTTTCTCGATTTGTCTATGAACTGACTCTTTAATGGTCTTCTTGCAGAGGTAGCAGTAAATGGGATTTGCAGCCAGAGTTGGGAACTTCAAAATTGCTTTTCTGTTCGTGGATCACTGGTACTTTGTGACGAGAACTAATTCATGTGTAGGATACATCTCTCTGATGAGGGATTTTGATGGATCTTTTTATTTTCCTTTCTCGTTTTTCCCCCTCAGTAACAGCTGGTGTAAGCCTTGTTACTCCGAATGCTGATTTGTTTTTGTTAAATATAATTCATTCGTTGTGTCTATAAGAATAATTCTCTACTGAGAAATGACATCAATAATATGATGGGAAAGTGCAGTTTAGTTGATTATAACTGCTGGGAACCGAGTGAAATATCCAAATTTTAAGTTCTGGCCTTTCGTTTTAACTACAAATTTATGGTATTCATCAGTTTTTTTATGCCTGCTTTTAAACGTCTTCACTGCCTCATCACAATTTTGTTTGCCTTATTGGTCCATGATATTTGCTTTTAGGACCATTGTTGCAGAGAATTTGATCCGTATCAGTCTCCAAACTCCCACAAGTAAATACTCTGTATTCTGCATTATGGTTCTTGTTCTACTCAAATCATCTTGCCGAGGCATTGCATATATAGCTTTTCACTTTACTGTGGAACAACAATGACCATTGATTGTGTTTAGTTTCACATCAAAAACTAGCAAAATTACCATAAGTTACTTCGACCCAAACGTGGTCCGTGAAACCAAACACGTACGAATATGATTGTAAGAGGTTTTTTGGTTTACCCAGAAAGCACTTAAAAGTAGTTCTTTTATAAAAGTTGAGACAAAATTCTTTTTGTATACTTGCTTCATTTTTAAAGCCATAATCTGGAAGAAATCCCCAAAATCTTTCTATCACACTGTTCCATAGGTGTTCTTGTTGGTTGAGCGTGTTTTGTCTTTTTAACTGCATCCATATTCCTCATTCCAGCTGCTTCTCCATCATTGTTCATTTTTCCCATCAATGAAAAAAAAAATTCTGCCTTTTGCTTCAATGCTCTTCTTCATTCATGTCTTCCATGTTCCCTGATCAAATCATTCAATTGGTATTAAAAATAGTATGCTCCATGTTCGTTTCTCCTTGATATGAAGCAGCGAATATGTAGTAAAGTTGAAGTGCAGAGGAATCTATGTGCCTGATAGAGTTGTTTACTGCGACTTGAATGCCTCCAAGTTTAAGCTTTGCATGCGTGTGGGTGAGGGATGTTGATTTTTGATTTGTTGAATCGAATGTAGTTGCCGGGTCGGGTACTTGGGATAGTATAATGATTGGGATATATCATTCATTGGTTGAGGATCGACTTGAGTCCAAATTTCAAGGATCGTGTTTTGGACCTTTTTTTAATATTTAATAATAACAAGGATTGACAAATGAATTCCATTGTTTGTTCCTAATAAAAAATGTTACTTGCAGGAATTTTTATACTATACAATAAAAATCTTTTAATCTATAATTAGTATTTGTATATTATTTCTCATCTAATTCAAATGTTTATTATTGGTTGACTATCCCTTGCCTAGGCATGAGTGAAATGTTTGTTTATTTTTTTATTAAACTTTTCCCCCGATTAAGTTATTGGTTATATGATTAGTCGGTTGGGTTATTGATCTCAGAACACATTGTTAAACTAATGTTTTCCAGGCTTACTATTTTAACAAGAGAATTACAATCAAGTCTCATAAAAAAGAAGTAATTACTAAAAAGTCTTAATAACAACCTGAAAACTTATAATGACAAGCCCTACAGTGAAAAATAACAACATGTAGGACTTGTTTTGTAATTTTTTTCTTTTATGGGAGTTGATTGTAATTCTTCGTATTTTAATTTGACCTATATTCACATTTAAATTAAACTTTGGGTTTAAATCTTTTATTCTTAATCATCATTTGTTTAATTTTGCTATTATGAAATTATGTTCATTCTATATTTTATTTTATTTTCAAAAGAAATGAGAAAATAGAATAATTATAAATATCTAGATTAATTAATGCATAATATTCAGATAATATAATTCGAGTTGGTTGAAAGAAGGCCAGGAGAACAAAAAGGCAGGAGGAGTCGTTTGGCAGAGGGGAACAGGAGGCCAATCGTTTTTGTCAGGGGCAATTTGAAATGTTCAAAGTGAGAACCATGCCCAGATGATCTGGCGGCGCGTTTACTTCTAGTCCTTCTAATGGTCATTGGTGGGATCGGCAAATTCGTTGGGCTCGTCGCCGTGACAGTTTGTTGATGTCTGCTTGCAGGGCCACTTTTTCTTAATTATTGCTTTCAGTACAACGTTGTTATTCTACATTCTCTCACTTCTGTTGCCCCCTTCCCTCTAGTAACCCGTCCCGTTTCAATTTTTTTTTTTTCACAAACTAATATAATTTGGGTCTGAATTTTCTATACTGTAATACTATCTCAGATCCTAATTATAAAATTTTATTTATAGTTTATAAATAATATTTTATAATTAAAATCAGAGGTAATATTTGTTTTTTATTGGGCTTATAAAAATAAAAATACTATATTATGTAAAAAGTCCAATTATATAATGAAAAAAAATATAACAAAAACAATAATAATAACCCTTATCCTACTAGATGGAAAAAAATATAATAACAATAATGTCTATCATAAAAAATACTATATAATGACTTTATGGATAATGTCATTAAGAAAGGAAATTTTGTTGAGATATTATTACAACTTAATAACTGAAAATCACTATAAAAAATAATTATTCTTGAAAAATAATTGAATAATCTAATAATAATTATTAATAAGTAATTTTAAAAAATTGAAATGGGATGATCTCGTCTTGCATCCCATCTCGTCCTGATTACTATTTTTTCCTGTTCTATAGTAATCTTATCCTATCCCAAATTAGCCAAGATCAGAATAAGATAAGTTGAACACTCCTATTAGTAACTTGACTTTTATATATATATATATATATATATATATAAGTTAGTTTGAGATTTAATTTAGTTCTAAACATAAGAATATAATATATTTATCTCTAATATTTATTATTTTTTTCAAGTAATTCCTATGTTCATCACATATGTTAAGAAGTTTCTGTCAAAAAGTAATTCTAATGCATATGATTAATGAGAGCATTTCAAGAAAAATAATATCTATTTATTACAAATAATTAACTAATTTAACTAATTATCTTAATATCATTAAATTAATTATCTGGCTCTTATATTAGGAACCAAAATTAGCATGCGCAAGTAACATTTTTCCCGTAGAATTTCTTTTATATATGAGTAACTCTTTGTATTTCTTTAAAAATTTAACATATTCTTTTTTTATTTTTACCCCAATTAATAACATGGTTTTATATCTTTTTCTCATTAATCTCTTTTTTCTCTATTTATTAATAAGACATCGTTTGAGAAAACTAAGAATAAATCTCTGATTGAGAAATTAATTGGCAAATGATTTCTAAAGATTTTGTACAACTTAATTTTGTTTGCGTGAGGTCTATCTTTTCTTGTGTGACATCTTACCTTTTGCTCTTTGTTTTTTTTTTTTTTACAATCCATATTCACTGTGTAAATTAGTCCCTTATGTCTAAGTAACATTAAATTTTTATTCAACTTGACTTTCTTTGTGTGTAATTTATGAATTATTTGTCATTTAATCTTTTTAATGAGGAATTTATCTCAATTTTTCAATATTTTATCTCGATAGGTTAAATTTGATCATTAAATGATAAAAATATTTTTCAAAATATCATAGATTCTTTACATACTAATTATAAGTAATTAATTTACCTATTTTTCATTCTACCATCTAGTTAAAATGACTTTACGTTCAGGATGGGAAGGAGTGGACACATTGAAGTTTTAAATTTATTTTAATCAGGAAATTGCATGTTTGTTTTGTTTTCACCCAAAAAAAAAACATAACGAAAAAGTTTTATATTTATCTATGAATTTTTTTAAATATCTTATGATTCGAAAATATGAAAGTGCAATTTTTAAATTATTTCTTCTACATAAAAATTCAAACTTAAAAGAATTGTTTTATTAATAATATTATTATAATTTGTACGAAGACTGATATTTACCAGGTCAGAATGAAATAGAATTTAAGAAACTGGTTTTAGAAAAGAAAAATCTTCATTTAATTTCGTGTGTACGTATAAAAATAGGAATGGGATAAATAAACAAGTAATTTGCCTTATTAATTGCAGCGCAAGCAAACATCCGTCCATAGAGAGATCCAGTAATCTTCGGAAGTAATAAGAATATTGTTGAAAATTAAAAAGAAAAAAAAAAGAAAATTAATCTGGTCAAGTTCAATTTAAAATTATGGATAAATGTTGACTTGTGTGTATACTGAGTTATGAAATTTAAATGTTTTAATCTATGTTAAATATTTTTAACACATATAAACTTAGAAACATATTGGTTTAATTATGATTGATTTGATGACTATACAAACAATTGGTAAATTATAAATCAGTGGTTTCACTGGTTTCAATTTAATTAATCATTAAACGAGATTGAGTCGATATATATGTAATACAACTAATTAGTATAAATTAAGTTAATATCAACATCAACATGGTTAAATAGTTTTGAAGGGAATTCAAAAATATATTTGCTTTATTTGAACATCTAGAGAGCACGTTATCTTTATTTATTAGTATAATTATAAATAAAACAAATTAATAAAATTAATATATACGTCCTGAAATTTATCAAAAAAAAAAAGTCTTGATATTAAACCTTTTTTTTTTGTTGATACAAAGGAGAGCAAAAACTAACCAGAATTCAAAAGGGTAACATCGTGCGGGGAATGCCAGGATCCAAAGGCATCACGTGTTCGGCAAGATGGTCTGCTACAGTGTTCTCCTCAGGAGTGCGCGTGGCAGGTATGTACTCATCTGATCTAATTAACCAATTTAAATTGATTAAGAATGATAATTAAATTAGTTAATACTATCTCTGGTCCTTAATGTAAGACATTGTTTGAATTTTATTTTAATCCTAAATATAAGATCCCAATTCACTTTGTCTTTCATATTTATGCATTTGTTTCTAAAGTAGTCTTTTTAATAATAGTAGTTCTCGTCAATGCACTTGATTAGTAAGGATATTTTAAAAAAGACAACATCTATTTATTACAAATAACTAACTTAACTTCTTTTCTTAATTTACTCAAATTAGTCAACTAGGTCTTATATTTAGAACTGGATGTAATATGATATTATCTCCAATCTTTTAATATAAAAGCTAGTTGACTAATTTGAGTATATTAAAAAAATTAAATTAGTTATTTATATTAAATAGGTATTGTCTTTTCTAAATA